CCCACTTTTTTGTCATCTGCTGAATAGCGATATTTTCAAGCAAATTGTAAAAGATCGGATAAGTCAACATTTTCACATAATTCAAAAATGAAGGATAAAAAAGAAATATCTTGTTATCTGGAGTAATACTTCGAAAGGTATACAACACTCGAATAATATTTTTGTGCCTTTTGCAGCTCAAACCAAGCAGTATGTTCAATTCTGTATTTACTTGTGAGTCCTCTTCGAAATCTGAAGTTAGGTCAGTTAGTTCTTAAACACTTCTGTGATTTCCAGAATTTTTTAAAACGAAGGCTCAGACTGAAGAGGGATCATTGAGGCCTATTTTCACCTGGCCAAGTTTTTTTAAGTGCGATTTCTTTGCGTGGTCCAGGACTAAGCAATGTGCCACGGTAAACGTTACTGAATACACCCGACGAGTGCAACCTCAAATTTTTCATCCGCAACTACAATTTTAACTTTTTGAAAGAAATTAAATTTCGGGTAAAAACTTCTGGAATCTTTTTTTCGGATCCTTTTGCTACCGAATTATTTGTAGTGAAGTTTATTTGACAACCAAAGAAGACGTAAATTCTAGAAGTTATAAGATGAACACTAATGACGGCTGAATAAACTAACTGTCGTCAGTTTTCTTCATTTGGCAACTTACTAAAACGGATATAAATTTAAATTAAAAAGGCCAAAATCTTAAAAGCAAGATATCACAATCTCAATACTTTTTTTACTAGAGAAATCGACAAGTGAAAACTATAATTTTAACATTTTCGAAAAATAATTCACAGAACCTTGACTTCCTTTTTACTTGGTAATTCTACCGCACTTTGTTCATGAATCAAATCGATATTTTTGAGTAATATTCCTACTGAACAAAACTTCCTATGAAACAGTGGAATTTCATATAAGTCTTATCCCATTTTGTGGTAATTTAAACTCTATAATATGATGATATTTAAACATGATATCTTTTCCATCTCCATTGCAATGTTTGACTCATATATATATATATATATATATATATATACAAGTTTTTCAAATATAATCACTTAACTACTGAAAAAGTATTTTGGTATTATACAGAAAGCATTTGGCAGTAGTGCAAAGTATTTATTTTTCACATTTTTTCCTATTAAAAAATTTGTACGAATTTTGTGCAAATTTTCCACAATTTTCACAAACTAATGAAATCCAAAATTCCCTGAATGACCCAAGTAAGTTGTCTGGTACCACACGAAAAAACCCTTCCTATTATCAACTTCAATAGAAGGAAAGATCAAGCATTATCACCAGTACCATCTTTCTCCACACAGATTTCACTCCATGTTTTCTTTCGTAATGAATTGTTGGACATGCTGCTCACAACTAAACAATGCTAGAAAAATGAATGAAGCTTGAACATTCCTCCACTTGAATCCAAATTTGTTATATGCAAATCCAAAAAAAAATTCGCTTAATCTTGCGTAATGGGAAATCCGAAGTTAAATTAAATGTTAAGTAAATAAAAGTTCCCCTCCTATTTTGGTCATGAACTTTTGGTTTTAACTTCATCGAAGAATTCATAGAGCAAATCTGAATGCAATATTCTTTATCTGCAATATGTCCATTAAATCAAATGACTGAAATTTACTTCATTTTTGAAAATTTAATTAATCGCATTAGTGGGAAGAAAGAAGGATTTAGAAATTCAATGAAGGGTTATGAGTGGTCAGAGCGGAGAGATGAAGAGCTTTATGTGTGACTGGTCGGATTTACATCGGTTTTCCTAAAGCTAAATGACAAAAGCAATTGATGTCTAATTTCAAGATTTCCAAGAGTTCAAATTGCAATTTACTTTATTTTACAGTGAGAGTTTGATTTTAATTAACAGAAAAAAATCAGTGGAAATCAGTCGCGGTATGCTAGAAATGGTGAATTCCAATCTCAACAAGCGAGAAAAACGACAGGAAAATGTCTAGCGACAAGATGAATTTTACATAGAGATGAACTTAAGTTCCACGTCAAACAACAAGAAATTTATAAATCAAATGAATAATGCCTTGCAAAAAAAAAAAAAAAAAAATCAATAAAACATCGTCCATGAATAATCAACAAAAGAAATTTAGGACCATATTTTTGTTGGGATAAGTATTAATTAAATCACTTGCTCTTTTGAATCGAGATAATCTTAAATTATTTGGTTGGAATACAATAATATGAGGTCACTGAGGTCGAGACAAACATTCAACAAAACCAACTAAAAATGATGCCCAAAATATTACGTTTCTAATCGAATACAAAATTAAAACAGAAATGACCATGACAAAAAAGTAATTTTGAATTAGTGTAATATTAAGAATGAAATAAACACTGGAATATTTACCGATTTTGCACATACAAACTGGTGAGAAGATCTTTTAGCAGAGAAGTATCGACATGCTATGAACTATGAACTCTTCGCTGTGCGAAACACTTCCATAAACACTCCCACAACATTTGCTTTCCAAGTGACCTTAGTCGACTGATATAATGACTAACCATGTGTCTGGTCATCTTCAACGAAATCAAATGCCTGTTCTTTTGAAACAATATCGATGTGTGAAACCTATAAAAAAACAGAAAAAAATTAGAAAAAGTAATCAAGGCAAGCTTATACAACGAAAGCAGCACTGTAATGTTTAGATTCAGTTCTTCCGTTAAACTTCTGACTGTGGAGTCATGAAAATATTAGCAAATTCAAGAAATGGTTATACAAATTGAAGGAAACTCTCAAGTTACCTTGTTCCGAAACCGAACACCATAATACTTCTCTGCACTGTCTAGTAATTCCGGTCGGAAGGTTGTCGTGATGAACTGTGCATTCTCCGACAATTCATGAATCATATCTAGAGCAATATATAATGATAAAAATGGCAGTGAAAAATGCCTTTCAAATTAAGATAAAACAAAAATTTGCGAGAATGTAATACTTTTTTTAATTTCGAAAACTTCTAAGAAATTGAGATTTATAAACACATTACTGAACGAAAGGCTTATAACGCAACACAAAATGTAAAAACGAACCAGCTACAGCCTTTCTATGCTGCGCATCTAGAGCTGCATCGATTTCGTCAAAAAGATAAAAAGGTGCTGGGTCACACTTCTGGATTGCAAATATGAGAGCCAAAGCTACCAGACTTTTCTGCCCACCAGAGAGCTGCTGCATTTCACGAGTTTCAGATGTACCCGTAAATGAAACCTTAAAAATATTTTCAAAAAGTTTCTTATATCATCCATTGCTAAATATAATATAAGGATTCAAAGTACTTACTCGTATTCCAACACCTGTGAAAGTTTCTATTTGATGTAAGTCACTTTGATCCTGCGATGGCTGTGAGTCCTCATCCTGAATTTTCAAAATATTTCTATTCCTTGTAAGAATATGAATAACGCAACATTTTTTATTATGATACGCCAGAAGTAACAGTTTGCTCACATGACTGACTCGCATCACTAAACTTCCATAACCACCAGGAACGAGTTTTTCAAAAACGGTATGGAAATTTTTTGATACTTGCTTGAATGTCAACTGAATGGCTTCATATTTACGCTGATCCAGAACGGTGAGTAAATCGCTGATTGCCTGCAAATAACTGATGAATATTGATTGGAAATAACAACTCCTTCATCACTTGACACTATTTTTTTTTATTCAGTAATTTTCTTATTTTTCTACATTTTCAAATCAACAATTTTTTCTTATTTTCAATAATTTCCTTATTACCAACCTTCTGATTGGCTCTGTGTTCATCCATTCGTTTTGCAAGATCCTCCTTTTGGCCGCTTGCTTGTACGAATTGGTCAAGTGCCTTCTTATTTACGTTTTCATACTTTTTCAATTGTTCCAGGGCTTCGCCCAGCTTCTTATCTAATTGCTTCAATGAATAACTTTCGTAGTTCTTCGAATCCATGGGTAACGAACCAAGTTCGCGTATCTGCAACATTTAAAGTCATTGGTGGACGCTTTCTTAGAGAATTTATGAAACAAATAAATAAAATGCATTAGAAAAATAAGAAACATTAAAGGCAAACCTTTTTGGTAATTTCCTCTCGTTTTGTTTGCATTGCTGATTGCTTCGTGCAAATTAAGTCCACTTGCTTTGAAAAATCAGCGACCTGAGCTTCTAAATCTTTTTGCTGCTCTTGACAGTCTTCCAATTCGCGCGTTAATTTCTCGTCGCTTACTTCAAATTCACCCAAATGTTCTTCTAATTCTGTAAAAACTGGTAAGACTTAAGCGTTAAAATATGAATGGGAAATAAACTAACAGAACGGAAACCTAACCAGACAGTCGCGTTATGATTTCAGAAAGCCGATTATTAACAGATTTAAGTTCCGCCATTTCTGACTGAAGGTGATTACGTTTCTCATCAACAGATATGTCATGAATTTTCTGAAAAATGGTTTAAAACAAAAATTAAGGCTAAAAAATATAAAAAAGTGATAAAAACTTATACAGTGATATGCAAATACAACATTCAAAAATTGGTGTGATTACCGACTGCAAGCTTTCTCTTTTGCGATGAAGGTTCGTCGTCAACTGGTTCTCCAGTCGCAATTTTGTGGACTCTAACTCGGCCCTCGACCGACTAACAGAATCAAGGCGTACTTTTTTTCCTTTTATATCTTCCTACAATAAACATCGATATCATAAAAATAAAGAAATAGTAATTGACGACATTATTTTTCTGCAGCAGTAGATGTTACTTGCAATTGATCAAGCATGTTTTTCTCTTCGTCGCTGAGTTGCGAGAGCAAAGGAGTGCCAAGCTGTCGTTGCAAACTTTCTTTCGTTGCTTCCATTTCGCGGATTCGATTTTTTAAATATAAACATTGTCCTACCTGCAAGAAAAAAAGTAGACAAAGTAAGAGAAAATTATTGCTCTAGATTAATTTCAGGTAACTTTGTTGTAAAAAATAACTGTTAGAAAACCTTCGGTTCTTTATTCTTTGTACTTTGCTGGAGTTGGTGTGACAAGTAACGCTTTTTCTCAGACGCGGCTCTATGCTTGTCCCTGAAGGGATGTAAAATAGAAAGAAAATTTTTAACTTATTCAAACTGATATTTCTGTTTGCATTTTGAAAAATATTTTCTTTTAATCTCTCAAAGTCTATTTCAAGTAAGAGAGCAATGAATAAAGAACAAAACTTACTTCAAATATAAAACTTCACGTTCCAATGTATCAACTTCCATACGCAACTTTTCTACGTTTGAAGCTTTATCATTACTGGCATGGACTGCCTTTTCAAGAGCTTCCTGAACATTTTTCGTATAATTAAAATGCTTTATTTCAAGTACTCGCAAAATCACTGTGCTTTGAAAATTAAAAAAAAAAAAACCTCAAATTCAACTTTTTGCGCATGCATTTGTTGAACGGCACTATAAAGTTCCAAACGAGAACGTTTCACATCAAGGAAGCCTCCTGTCATTTCGCCACGTCGACTCATTTGATCGCCTAAAATAGATTCATAAAGAACAAATGTGAGAAAAAGACGTGGTATCTCATGATATTTCACAGGCTATAAAAAAAAGCAAAATGAACCCTCGAAAGTGACGCAATCAAATCCTTCACGTTTTGCCAAACGATTGCCAGCAAGCATGCTACGTACCACAGCTACGTTGCCAAAAATATGACGAAAAACAACACCGTAGATGGATTCATATTCCATTCCATCAATTAAAAGTCTTGCTTCCTATAACAAATAAAACATCGATTAACAACCAATACGCAATAAACAATGAATATTTGCATGCAATTATCATTTCATTAACATGATTTATAATTCCTCACCGGATCATTAACTTCTCTTCTTGGTTTGGCAATCAAACGATTCAAGGGGAAGAAATTTATTTCACCTAATAGTTTTTGCTGATTTATCTGAAATCAAACACTAGTAAGGACAAATACAAAAGATAAGGCAAACAGATAATCGCTTTTGCCTATCTGCCTTATCACCATCATTTCTCTGAAATCTCTTTCCATCATTATTAAAATAGCAACGAAAAGAAAAGAAGAATTCCTTCTTGTTATGATCATTCATATACAAATTTGGATATTCTCAACTAAAAACAAACCTCTTTCATGATTTTCATCGCAATACGGTCATCATCAACCACATGATAAAATAAACGATTACCAGTGGTAACTTCAACTGCTTGGTAGTAAGCCTTATCACAACGAAATAATTCAATCACAATACCTAAGTAATTTTAAGGCAGTTTAGTTAGATGATTAATAGTCCCGATTAAGTGTTTACACTTAAGAAATAAGATGAGGAAGGATGCGAAATGGAAATGATACCATGGTAGCCACTCAAAACAGAGTCATATTGTCCGTTACGATTTTGGGTACGAAAATGATTTAGCACATGCTGTACGCTATCCACTCCATTCATTACAGACTAAAAATAAAGAAGACCAGACAATGATTAATGAAATTAGAATACGCTTATGATATGTAAATTGTTTAAGATGAAATTTAAACAGCAGAATTTCTGATGCAAGCTAATCTCTACAATGATTCATTTGGATATGCAATACAATTATTTATGGTTAGTAAAAATTTTCATTTTCAGCAATCAAATAATACCCTTGGAACCAGACGCCGGAAATCTTGCTCAGCTTGTTGCACATCAACTTTGATTGCCTCCAAATTATCACGAGATGCTTTTTCTTCTCTTGATGCTTCTCTGCAGTTCATGAAGAGCAGTAAATTTTCAAATAAATTTGGAACAAATAAGATCAAATAGAATAAATTCGTGCAGTTAAATCCTGTCAAAATAAAAACTAAAAATTAGATTCCGAAAATGCCAAACTTACTGCTGAGTAACACTAGCTTCATCTAAGCGACGTCGCAAATCGGCCATATCTTGATTCATCTTTGTTAATTTGTCAACAAATTCTTCAGCACCTAATCCAATTTCCTAAATAAACACATCAGCTTTGAATAATCAATTGGTCGAGAAAAAACCTTCTACTACTCTAAATTAAAAAGGACAGATGAAACATAGAAATTCATTCAATTAAGCATAATACAATTTTATTAGCGTATACCATAATTTTCTGATGAAGTTGCTGTTCTTCTTGTTCTTCATCCTGAAGACTTTTTTCAATACCAGCAATTTGTTCATGAATATCTTGAAGCTGACGGTCATAGAATCGAATTTCCTTTTGCAAGATCTAGGTCGATTTTAATTAATATTATTTTAGCTGCTTTGTACACAAATCAAAAAGCTGATCTCCGGATAAGCATGAATATCATCATACAATTATCCAATAACAAAATTAATTACTATTATCAAAACTATTCAAAAAGTGTGAAAGTAAACTAAATTTTGTTAAAGTTAAACCTTATCGCGTTCTTCAACAGTTTTATACTGATCTCTATATCCTTGCTTTGCATATAGTTCTTTGCATCTTTGTTCCGCAATACGAATACTGTAACAGTTATTCAACACTGTTCACAGAAAGCAATATTTTCAATTCGAAAATATCTTATGCAATAGACAAACTCAAACAGCGATTTCTTACACTTACTCAGTATTTAATCGAGCTGCGTCCTCAACTAAGGCTTTGTATTTTGGAATAACTGTATTGAGTTCCTCTTCTTTTGCAGCTATGTCTGTTTTAAGCTTGTTCAACACATCCTCCGCTTTATCCTAGATTTTATCATATAAATTCGGAAAGTTTAGTAAGCTGTATGTTGGTTCATCATCAAAAATTTTTTGAATATTTTAATAATTTAAATTTTCTGGAAACCATGACAAAAAGAATAATATTTAAGTTGGTGCAGTGGTTAAATTTACACTGCTTAGTACCATTAACACAGCACATCGATTACAGAAACTTACTCTCCCAGAGCGTTCCTTCTCCACATCTTCGCGCAAGTCATTGATTAAAAGCTCTAATTCAGTTTTTCGTTGCACACGTTCGGTCTGTTCAGCTAGAAGCGCTTCCTTTTCTTCTCGCATTCCTTTAAAGCGTGCTTCTAATTTGCGTTGTTCTGCTGATGCTTGTAAAGCACGGTTCTGAGCATTTAGCAAGTCGTTCGTAACCTGTAGATGCAAACATGCAACAGAATATAAGGAAAAGGCAATACAAACGTCAATTTAAACTTGCTGTAAAAAAAATTTCAAATGAAATTCATAAATCTAAAAAAAAAAACCTTGCTCTGCCGAGTGTTCATTTCTTCACGTTGTTCAGCCAACTTGTCTAGTTTCTTTCGAGCTTCTTTCAACTCGTTATCGTATATCATATACTCTATAGATCTACAAAATAATGACTTTGAGATTAATATTATTTAGATTTTAGTGTCTGCAAAAACCAATCTGAAAACACAAAAAAAAAAATAGATTAATCAACAAATAGTCAAGTTCACTATTGAACTAGAAAGATGCATTAAGTTCGAAGATAGAACGAGAAAAATAGAATAACCTTTTCATTTTGTCCCACTTCTGATATTCCTTTAAGTCTTCTTTCTCTTCCTCTAAAGTCTTTAACCGTTCCTCAATGAATGCAAGTAAAGTCTCGATCTTTTCACTTTTGGCATCTGCAAAGAATTCTCCACTTATCCAACAAATTAAAAAAAACCAATTTAACATAAGACAAAATTAAGTAATACAGACTTGTTTCTCGCAATATTTTCAAACTTTCATCTTTCCGTTCATCGTAAACTCGTGTTCCTGCCACCTAAAATATTCCATTCCCTAATTTGAAGAGCAGAGCAGCGTCTTCTGAAGAATACAATAGAAGACTACAAAACTGAACAGAAAATTACAAAACTGAATATTTCCAACCTCACGCAATAACTTCAAGCGGTGTGAATCAGGTGATGTAGCTAATTCATTGATTTTTCCTTGCTTTACAATGTAATATGGATTCGAACGAGAGAAGCCCGCCGATTCCATCAAATTCACAACCTAATGATAACAATAAGGTGCTCATAATTTTCGGAAAAAAGAATCGTCACTTTTAAAGAAATTCGAGAAACTGGATGAAGCGATTATAAACTCACGTCACTACGAGCAACCAACTTTGCATCGATAAAATATTGATCCTTCTTCATACTAACACGTCGCAAAACACGCACTTCATTTGCCTCAATCTGAAAGATATGAATTCCATAAAACTCTACGTGTTTGATACAAGTACAAAAACTCGATCTTTGTTACAAATAAAATCATGTTTCCATCGATTTCAATTTCAAAAATGGCAACAAACTCACGGCAACGATTCGGTGATCGGCATTATCGAAAACAATTTCAACACTGGCCGTTGTAACACGATCTCCAGTGCCTTCGTGAATCAAACCTTGCCTTTGTTCTGCTTTAAGATGGCTGAATTCATCCGAAAGCACAAACTGTATAGCTGCAAGCACAGCGATTAGATTTCAAACATTTTCCATAACAAAATATTTTAAAGTGTTGAAAGTTTAATAAAGATATGTAAATTTTGTGGCAAAATAAAACTGAGTAATAAGCACTTCAGAAGACTCGCGAGTACTAATATCCGAATATTTGCATAAACGCCAGACTAAGCAAGCGTTACCAAATTCTAAAAAGAACCTATTCCAGTAAACTCAAGATGAATGGATCGAAGGAACACTACAGGAATATAGGCTCTTCTTCTCTCTTACAATTCAAACTTTTCTCTTTCTCTTATAGTTTTACTTCGAGTTATCAACTTACCAAAAAAAAAGTTACTTTTTCCACTACCATTTCGTCCAACAACAACATTATGTCGCGGTGAGAAATCATTGACTGTTGTTTCACGATAACTACGAAATCCACTTATATTTACCTATAACCATCATTCTGATATTAAAGTTTAAAAAGAGTAATACCCTATCCCGACACTAATTTGGGTTAAAAAGAAAAATAAAGATTAGTAGATCTAAGCCAGTAGTTTATCAAATATATGGTTAACTAAAAAGCAAATAAATAAACATAGAGGGAAATCACGAAAGAAACATACTTCTTTGATATACATTGTAGAGTAAATCAGTGCGGGATTGGTTAGTAGAAATGATTAACCGTTCATTGAGTATGTACGTGAAGTTTGACCTGAAACTTGATTACAAAAAATGATGGCAATTATTCTCGAACCATTTAGCGCAACATGCATATATTTGTAACTTTCGAACTGGAAAATGTTGCCTATATTTTCCGAAATGACAATTCTCTGAAATAATGTCCTGAATGATAATAATAAAACAAGCGCAGAAATCCCTTAAAAACAAACCTGTCTTAAACTAAATATAACGGTGCATCACTCACCATTACAACGAATACCTTAAATTTAAAATTGTATGTTTCCACATTTACCATATTTAATACGGCCCACCATATATACCAAGACTGAGCTGTAAGCATTGCATTTTCGGACTTAGCCAGGCAGTGTTATTCGGTTTGTGGGGAGTTTGGTTTAAAGGTTTGGGAGGTTGCTGGTGAGGGAAAATAATGGTTCCAGAGAATAGCAGATACTATTGCATAGTGCACCATCTATGATCAGTTACTCGTTACTCATTATATCCTTTCTGGAACAATTTTTTTTTTGGTGAAGTTTTGCAATATTTAAGATCAAAGACTTTGTGAAATAATGAACTATGGCAAGACATATTTAAGCTCTTCATGCATTATTTCTATACTGCTTTGGCTCAGCCTCAATAAAGTGGCAAGAAATAACAGACAGAATTGCTAGCCGTATTAAATCATGTATGTCCATTGATTGTCCTAATTATTAAATTATTAAATGACACTGTTATGAGAACGAAAGTGTTTAACAATACAATTTAGTGCTTGATGTTTTCCTTGAAGCGCTAAGAGTTAAAAGCTATAACGAAGCGTATAAAGCTATAAATATTGTAAATTATAAGTTGTAACAAATGTCCACTTGGATAAGTGCTTCAAAGTTGGAATCCAAAAAGATATTAATAGTTTTGGCAATGTTGCGAATATTCGTCTCGAAATGAAATATTGGGAGAAAGAAGGTAAAAGATCGGCGTATAATATAACTGATTGATTAAGCAAACAGAACATAGATTCGTTGATCGGTTTCCAGGAGTGAAATACCTAGAAATTGCTATTTCTGAAAAACCATTGCTGAAGAAACAAAAAACCATCGTTATTCTATTTCAGGATAGTCCATCTTATTTGCTTCTCTTGTGAGTTTTGTTTCAGTTGAGAGCATAAATCATTAATTGCTATTAATCTAATAGTTATTCAATTGAGAACATACCATGTATCTAAATTTTCATCTGAATTCATGTCATTTCTTCTATCCCAGTTTCTCAGTTTGTCATTGATTCACTTTATCAGCTCTTTTCACTAATTTAGTGTAAAATTTCAAGCTGACCAGGAGAATGAGACTTATTCTTTATTCGTCTCTTCATTTTCGTCATATCTAACGTTAAGAATTTGGAACAAATAAAATAAAGAGGTGAATAGAATTTTAAATAAATCTCAGAATTAATGATAATTTAAGCAAATTGTCTGATAATAATGTTTTCTTAAGAAATTTCTTAATCTATCTTACCTGGAACCATAATTACCTTAGACTCGCTATATTACGTAACACTTTAAGAACTAACAGCTTTTGAGATGGAGTTAAATTACTTATTTACAAGCAGTTTTGAGCCGTTGATGAGTTTAGTCTTTTTCCCTTATCTTCTTAAATAAATATTTCATTTAACCTTAGTAAGACAAGATTTAGTTGTTGTTAATGAAAAAATTTCTAAATTAATCAGCCTTCAAAAAGATTGGAATTTTTCATTTCTTCATCACAGGAATTTTATGACATTAACAATTGGCTGAACTGCTGTATTGTAGTCAGTAATAAACCATCAGAAGTTTCATATTACTATGCCAGTATCATGTTTAGTAAACAATAAATATTGCATATCTCAATTTTGTTTACAAGGCAAGATTGTTCAGTTTACAGTCTGCAGTTACTAATATGCCAAAATGTATTTCATAGTCTTTGAGATAGTCTATTTTATGTATTCCAGAATTGCGGTATTTATGATTATAGCTTCATGTCAGCAGCAGGTACAATAGAATGCACAAGTCTTCCAGGAACCTTAGAAGCACGAGCTTACTTCTTTGAACTTAAAATTTAGGTGCATGCTTTAAATTCTTGATAGTGAGAACAAAGAACTAAAAATGAAGATGAATTAATTAAAATTAAAAAAGTGGGTGACAAATTTAAAATAAAATTATATTATACTATCGGCGAGTTTAAAGCAGTATTAGATTGTTATTTTAAATTCCACTGATGTTTTTGTATATGCAAGCTTCTTTCACATTTTTGGGCGTGAAACTGTCATATATGATTGTGTTTCATTGAAGTTTAGAATAATTATGTTACCTATTTATGCTATTTTGATATACTTCGCTATAATGATTCAATCGCTGAAAACTCACAGAGAACTGCAAAATGTAAGTTATAAAAATTTTAACAAAGAATTACCAGCAAAAGCAGACTGCTCGCTAGTATCAAAAATGTTCTGATAAAAGCTGCCAATATAGAAATATTTGCATTTCCGTTCCTTTATGAATAGTGCTTCTTCTAAAGAGTTATAAGTTAAGATTCTGCTGAAAGTGCATTAATCTATATCACCAAAATGATATCAAAATGAGAAAAGTACTGTACTTCGAACTTTTTTGAATCTAATACGATTTAGCAAAATATGTGGGATAGACGGAAAGAACTGCGACAGTTGGATGAAGTAACTCTGTCATTGCTGCAATATGAATTCGAGCATTTTCGACAGGAATCTACAAATAATGTTACTTTGATTGATGCATTAGCAGTAGCAGTAATGACCAAAGAATTAATCATCAAAAGGTAAATGCTTCTATTAGTTTTTGTGGAATGTTAAACTTCATTTCGCTTTCAACATCTTCTGAAGCTGCTAAGGAGGATCTCCGCTGTGGTAACATAGTTTCTTCAGCTCTAAAGTGTTCATTTTAATAATTTGACATTATTTTGTGATCATTCACATATTTCCCTATCGCAGATTGGAAGAGAGTATCGGAATGGCACTTCCGTACTGGGATTACCGAATGGACACTCAATTGGCGGAACCGAAAGATTCGTCGATTATGCTGATGGAGTTGTGTCAGCACGTAAATGATAAAAACAATGACAATTTGCTGATGAACAGTACCGAAGAAGAAACTGATCGACAGTTGTTGAAAATTGAACAAAGATGTAAAACTGGTGCATTACTGACATTTCTGCGGCAAACTTTACCTCCTGACAACAGTGAATTTTTGAAAATTTCTGAAAGTTCTGCAAGTATCATTGGTAAAAAATTTTTAGATTGATTCTTACAAAGTGAAAAATAACAGCTTTTAATGTTTTCTTTTGCAAAAATGAAGTTATTACTTCATCATTTCACTCAGAGATACTGTTACAGAAAGAATGTTTGTTTGTTTAATTATTCGGTTAAATAAATTAACTGATTGAATCAAACTTTCGTTGCAGTTATGACCCACGAGAATCAAATATTTGATTATAACAGCAAACATTTAAATGAGTAACAATAAGTGAGACAGGCTTTTGCATTCAAAAATTAGTGTTGCAGTAACTAATCATTGAAATCTATAGTAAACTTTTCAGCTCTTACAAAAGGATGTTCACTGTGTGAAACTAACAACAGCAAAAGATGGTTGTTCTGTGATCGGAATACTCATCGATGCGTTAGTAAAATAATTCCTAATGGTGACTGCACGAAGTTCCAAAATAATTCAGAAAGCTGTTTTCAATCAAAATGTGATCAGGGGCGCTGTAGTCAGCAAGAAATGACGCCTATTATGAAAGTATCTGAAAACACTACCATCGCAAGAAATTCTACAAGCTATCTTAAAAATTCATTACTTCCGCCGAAAGCAGTACTTCTGACGAGGAACTTCACATCAGACATAAATTCAAATCATATCCCTAGAACTGATGTACACAATGCGAAAAATAGCTCGATATTTATGAAATCTCATTGGGTAATCTCAGAAGGTAAATATCAAATACTAGATTTTATGCCGACCGAATTGTCAAAATTCAAAGGTAGTACAGAAAACAGTTCTTACGACAAAAAAGAAATAATTTTACCTATAAAACGAAATAGAAATAGGAAGAAGTTCAAGAAGCATTCCGGGGAATTCAGAAATAAAGGTGAAGTTGAAATTAACAAGACCTCTCCTAAGAAATATTCGGAATCGATCCATTTCGTTCAATCCGATAACAACACATTTCCGACAAAGAAACGATCGAAATACGATGACTACCACAGAAAATTCAAACAACAAGAAGCAGTTAGTAAAGTACGAAAAGGCATTATTCATTTATATGGATTTGATAGACCATCTTCCAGTGAGGAATTGCTGAAATCTTTGAAAATAGGTCCTGATTTCGGAAAGGTTCCTGAATTTGGCATGAAAGATGCAAAAATGCCAGTGCAGGCCGAACAATATAAGACCACTACTGTCAGTGTTCCCTCGCAATATGTTTACTTTTTTATTACTGTTGTTAAAGGTAAATCAAAACGTAATAATTTACTGAACCGAGCTGTTGATGTCTGTGATATTACACTTAGCGGAGCAAACATGCCTTATGGTTTCACTGAAAGCATCAAAGTAAGTAACATCATTTGCAATTCTGAAAGCTATAAGCTTTAAATTGGGAATGAATTTCTATTTCAGTCTGGGAAAACTTAGACCAACCATTTGTTTTTAAAAATGCCACAAAATTTTTTCAGATTTGAGCACTAGACTAAAAAACTTCAATTCATAAAAATTAAGAGATTTAATTAAGATTGAGATAAGAAAAACGGGAGGATATCTTGTATACCATTTCATTTATTTTTATGTACCACTCACTTTCGCATCAGGCCATTGATTGTATTGGGACATTGCATTCTCGAAGTCTGTTTAATATAATAATTAAATAAATTTTATAGTGAATCCAGTAGAGGGGCAAAATTCTCAATTGGA